ATTTACTCTGGCATGAGATATTTCGATTGAATAATAGTTGTGAATTAATTTACCTTAAATGTTGAGTTAAAACTGCATTTGTATGGTATTCTAGCTGTTTACAAATCAATTTCGTTTGTACTTAACTTATTTATAAAGATATCATTCTATTAGACTTTAAGAATATATTTTCAAAGCTGCTGTCAAAAAAAAAAAAAAAAAATTTACCTACCTACGTATACCTACCCATCTTGAGATTTTAGGGTCGGGTTAGGGGAAACAAAGATATTTTTAATGATGGCCTCAGGGATAAAGATTTATATTCTGTGAAGCATGGAATATAAATAAATAAAAATGTAAACTTTAAGATAGAAATTTCATGTGAATATGTTTATGTATAATATATTAATTATTTATACCCATTGAACAATCAATTTAGCATCGAAAATTTAAATGCTTACAAATTCAGATCAAATTTTTCGTGAAAAGTCAACGGTATGTTTTGAATGTGAAAATTTTGTTCGAGACTTCTCACCTTGGATTCATCTCGTATGTGCTTCCAAAGCGCTAATTTACAGTATATTGAGCGTGCGCGCGCATTCCAAAAAAAATTGTCGAAAAACACATACATGCAAACCCTCAAGGGTGTTGGGAAATAAAAATCGTTTATGTTAATATATAATTTAAAAAATACAACATATAAAAATGTTCATTACTCTTTATCTAAGTACAACACATTATAATTTTTCAGAAAAAGTTGGTTAGTCTTTGCTTCAAAACTTCCTGTTCAGAATGAAGAGCCATCTATGTACAAGCCACAAAGACCTGTCAATGAATTCATCATGATTTTCTCGGGCAATGATCATTTTGGCCGAACTTGGAACTAGAACTAGACTTATATTCATGTCATAAAAATTAGATAATTATAATTTTCATGCAGGTGGTTTCCTAGAGAAAAAAGGAAAATTGTTCAAACCTGAGAATCCTATTCTGTTGGAGAAGGAGTGGGGTGGGCTATAACTTACTTTCACATTTCAAATTTCATGAATACATTACCAAATTACAGTAATTTTAATATGCTACAATAAAATAATTGGTACAATCTAATTAAAATTAGACCACCCATTTGCTTTTAGTAAATCTGTTCGTCGCTCGTGACAAATACCTGGTATATATTATGAAGAGTGAGTTGAAAGTTCTAATTTAGATTTGATTGTGAAGTGTCAATCAACCTTTCAATGTACATTGTCCATTGTAAAAGTTTATGTTTGAAAAACGGTGACACCCCTAGCTCCTCCGATACTATGTGCCTGTATGAATCAGCAAAACCACTCAAAGTGCACTGTCACCATGCATAACCATTGTGAGCTTAATATTTAGAAAGGTATAATAACCAAGTCCTATCCTGGGGTCTTAATAGGGGTGCAACGATACACTAACCTCACGGTACGATACGTATCACGGTATTCAGTTCACGGTACGATACGTATCACGATACATGACAAGGTTTAAAAGTCTTTCAAGTTTGTCACCATATTTTTTTTTAAACTTGACAGGGTTATATAAAATGTTCATATTTTTTGATAAATAATTAAAATAAAATTTTGTTAACTTGAATTGGATTGTTGGGTACATCTTTGAGTTTTGACAATATTCTAAACCAATGATGAACATTTATAGGGAACTACGGGGACCTTTCCTTATAATCTTCCTTTTAAATTGGAATGAAAAAGGAAGACATTCATTCTTTAATTCCTTTTATTTACGTAGAAAACCAGTTGTCATATTTCTCGTGTTAACACGTTTTAGTCAACAAGACAGTGAATTTTCATCGAAATACACACGTGATGAAATATCGTATATTACCAAAGAATACGTTTAGATCTAAAGGGTTTATCATTTGTCTTAACATCTATAACTTATAACCACAGTAAGTCCTTCTCAGTGTTAAATCTGAGGTCTGTAAGATGCTGGAGATAAGTTTAACTTCTGTTAATGAGTTATCGGCGACCTCACGTTTTGCGCGGAAGCCATTTTGAAATTGTAAAAAAGGAAACAAAACGAACGATTCGGATAATTCTGGACCGATTGAACAAAACCGCGATATCAGTTTAGCGTATCTTGAATTGAACCGTGGAAAAATATACTGCGATATACCGACAAACGGTTTATCGTTGCACCCTTAGGTCTTAATGTTGGGTTCTGGACCGTTAATTTTAATTATTGGTAGATGGCTTATTGTTAAATCATAATCATACAAACTCTACCTGTTAAATATCAATGGTCAGAAAGATTTTCAAATATATACTAATTTAGAATTAGACAATATACTCGAGCATATTAAAGTCCGGCTTTCAGTACTTTCAGTACTTTGATTTTAATATTAATTTGATATAGATTAAGTTGTTAAGATAAAATTGATATTGTTTAATATGATATTTTTATTTAATTTTTAGCTCATCTGAGCCGAAGGCTCAAGTGAGCTTTTCTGATCACTTTTTGTCCGGCGTCTGTCTGTCTGTCTGTCTGTCCGTCTGTCTGTCTGTAAATTTTTAACATTTTCGACTTCTTCTCAAGAACCACTGGGCCAATTTCCACCGAACTTGCCACAAAGTATCCTTGGGTGAAGGGGATTCAAGTTTGTTCAAATGAAGGGCCATGCCCTCTTTCAAGGGGAGATAATAAAGAATTAGTGAAAAATTAATAAGCATCTTTTAAAAATCTTCTTCTCAAGAACCACAGGGCCAGGAAAGATGAAACTCATATGGAAGCATCCTCAGGTAGTGTAGATTCAAATTTGTTAAAATCATGACCCCTGGGGGTAGGGCGGGGCCACAAAGGAGGATCAAAGTTTTACATAGAAATATATAGGAAAAAATCTTTAAAAATCTTCTTCTCAAGTACAGCAAAGCCATGATGAGTCATATTTATATGGAAGCATCCTCAGGTAGTGTAGATTCAAGTTTGTTCAAATCATGACCCCCAGGGGTAGGGCGGGGCCACAATGGAGGATCAATGTTTTACATAGAAATATATAGGAAAAATTATTAAAAAACTTCTTCTCAGGAACAGCAAAGCCTGAAAGCCTGAAAATCATGTTTTGTCATTTTGATATGGAAGCATCCTCAAGTAGTGTAAATTCAATTTTGTTCAAATGATGACCCCCAGGGGTAGGGTGGGGCCCAATGGGGGATCGAAATTTTTACATAAGGAGATATATAAGAAAAAATATTTCTTCTCAAGAACAGAAAAGCTATGTGTAGTCATATTGATATGGAAGCATCCTTGTGTAGTGTAGATTCAAGTTTGTTCAAATGATGACCCCTGTGATAGGGAGGAGCCACAATGGGGGATCAAATTTTAATAAAGGAAAATATGGGAAATTTTTTTAAAAATCTTTTCAAGTACAACAAAGCCATTTGCTATATTGACATGGAAGCATTATCCAGTAGATAAAAATTCAAGCCTTCAAGCCCCCCCCCCCCCCCTCCCCCGGTAATCTTTTCAATTCTGAACTGATTTTTGTGCTTTTGCCTAGCCACTGTGCTTAGGTGAGCAATGTGGCCCATGGGCCTCTTGTTTGAAAATACAAACTAATTCAGAGCATCATGTCCCACAAATCTGAAAGCTTTGGGGGGGGGGGGGGGTGCAGATAGGCATTTGTCAAGCTCTAACACAACCAGTTGAGGATCTATAATGTAATACTTGTTATTGCCTACACCACAGGAGATGTATAAACAAATATTATAAAGAATGGAAAAATCATTGAAATCCTTGTATCAAGGTTGACATGATTTTCTTGTACTCTAAACTGTTTATGACAATTAAACAATATTTGATGGCCGTATCATGCTGTGGTGGGGTACTTAATTTATTCCCAATTTCAAATGTGATAAAATAAAGGTGAAATTTTAAACATTGCTGACAAACAGCAAATATGTTTTTTTTTCTCTCTCTCTCTGAAGTTTTGTTCTCAAAATCCATGCACATTGTACACAACTTGTCAAGGTTTGTGATGAATGTGTAAAACATTGGAGGTATCCATGTAAGTTGATAAATAGCTTATTACAAAATTAGTATATGTTTCAAGATACAAGCCTTGTGGAGAATATTAGTTTGACCACCATTTATATTGAACACAGGATTAGGCTAATAACAGGAAATGAACAAAAGTATTGTATTTTATTAAAATCAAAAACACAAATAGTAAAGATGTTCTGTACACTAATATTAAGTCCAAATGCTAGCAAATTGTTATTTTTATTAAACAATAAGTAATTCCAAGAAAATAAATAATATTTATAGAAGGTGTGACTATGACATACCAGGGTAAGTAATAGTAATTTAGTAATGTTCCCATTAAATATATTAAATGTTTAAGATTTTTTAAAAAAAATTCCAAAAAAAAAAGTTTAATATTTAACCAGATCTGATATAAACCTCAAACAGAAACATGCTTGTTTGATAATTTTATGCAATTTTTATCATTCTTATATGCTATAATAAATGATTTTTCCCAATCTGAGAAAATGTCTCTAATCTTTCCAAATGCAAAAGGAGGGATGGAAGTTTAAAAAAAAAAAAAAGGCAACCAGCCTTTCAATGAATATTTTCAATAGTAAGAAGTTTTGTTTGATAAAAAAGTGGGGGAGCAGCCCTCCTATCCAATTACGATGTTCATGGGTTTAGCACACTTCTCAACAGCAAAGCCAGGATTAGTCATACTGATATGAAAGCATCCTCAGGTAGTGTAGATTCAAGTTTGTTCAAATCATGACCCCCACATATAGGGTGGGGCAACATCTTTAAAAATCTTCTTCTCAAGAGCAGCAAAGCCATGATTAGTCATAGGGAAATGGAAACATCCTCAGAAAGTTAAAATTCCAGTTTATTCAAAACCAGTGGGTAGGGCTAGGTCACAATGCTAATTAGTTAATGGTATAAGTGATAAGTTGTATCTTCATAATCTTACTGACTTCGTGTAAACTGAGATGATTTAATTTTATAATGGTCATTTTCAGGAACCACATCAGGTGTTATGCTGCTTTAGTTAATTTCTACATGGCGCTGAAAGACTATGTACAAGAGGAGATCTGGAGAAGTAATAGCTGTACCCCATCAGATGTTCCAGAGGGAACCTATACAGAACTGTGTGCAAAATTCTTCGAAATTTTCTTACTTATGTCAAGGTAAAACAAAATATAGTATATATATATATATATATATATATATATATATATTTATTAGTGTTGTCAAATCGGATGATTTTTTGTAATGGTTTACTCGCTTACTTGTTCGATCAAGTACCCGGTTACTCGGATGGGTTTTTATCTTTGGACCTCTTTAATAGCTAAAACACCCTTGCTCATGGTAATAACTGTAATATATGGGACGTCGTTATAGTTTCTATATTTATCATTCATAAAACACAAACCCTTAAGTGTGCTTTATTTGCACACTTTATCTATATATTTATAATTACAAAAGCTTCTACATTTTGTAATAAATTTATCGAATATCCTCCGACAGTTGGCTGTTTTTGCAGGGTGTCCTTTATATATAATTGCTGGCTTCAGAATGTGTATGTCAGTTCCATTTCATATATTCATTTTACACCTAACAGATTTAAATTTTAAAAAAATATATTGGAATATTTGCTTTTGATGGCTGTGGCGGCATCTTGTTCAAGACTTGTTGCGTACTAGCACAGTTTAATAAGGTATAATTATAGTAAACTCAGGTCTTTGAAATTTGTATACCCTTTGGCAATCAAAGCTATTAATTCATGAACTGTGAAAACCAAGTGTAGTCTAAATAAATCGATCGTTTTGTGAAACTCTAGATCAAATCTAACTGAAAAAAACAGTACCACGTTTACATATTTCATTTAGAAATGATATATTTTTTTTTTGTTCTACTTTTTTCAAATGTATCTAAGTAACCAATTAGCTGTTTTAGTAACCAATATTCGCATCGTTTGTCGATTAACCGGTTAACCGGGTACTCGTTGACAACTGTAATATTTATACATATATATATATATATTTATATATATATTTATGGAATGTTTTTTTAGTTTTGTGTGAGTTATTGGTGTGTAAATCACGCAGACTTGTAACGTAGGCATATTTCACGAAGCACGCTAGCACTTTTCATGTTAAGGAATTTTTCTATTATGTACATTCAAAAAATCTTCTTCTCAAGAACAACAAAGCCACAATTAGTCATATTGATATGGAATCATTCTCGTGTAGTGCAGATTCAACTTTGTTCAAATCATGACCCCGGGGGTAGGGTGGGGCCACAATAGGGGATCTAAGATTTACATATGAATATATAGGGAAAAAAATCTTTAAAAATCTTCTTCCAATAACAACAAAGCCACAATTAGTCATATTGATATGGAATCATCCTCAGGTAGTGTAGATTCAAATTTGTTGAAAACAAGACCCCTGGGGGTAGGGTGGGGCCACAATGGGGGATCTAAGATTTACATATAATGTAGAAAAAAAAAATTAAAAAATCATCTTCAAAGAACAACAAAGCCACAATTAGTCATATTGATATTGAATAATCCTCAGGTAGTGTAGATTCAACTTTGTTCAAATCATGACCCCCGGGGGTAGGGTGGGGCCACAATGGGGGATCAAAGTTTTACATAGGAAAATTCTTTAAAGATCTTCTTCTCAAGAACAACAAAGCCACAATTAGTCATATTGATATGGAATCATCTTCATGTAGTGTAGATTCAAGTTTGTTCAAATCATGACCCCGGGGGTAGGGTGGGGCCACATTAGGGGATCTAAAGATTTACATATGAATATATAGAAAATAATCTTTAAAAATCTTCCAATAACAACAAAGCCACAATTAGTCATATTGATATGGAATCATCCTCGTGTAGTGTAGATTCAAGTTTGTTGAAAACAAGATCCCCGGCGGTAGGGTGGGGCCACAATGGGGGATCTAAGATTTACATATAATATAGAAAAAAATTCTTTAAAAATCATCTTCCAATAACAACAAAGCCACAATTTGTCATATTGATATGGAATCATCCTCGTGTAGTGTAGATTCAAGTTTGTTGAAATCAAGATCCCTGGGGGGTAGGGTGAGGCCACAATGGGGAATCAAAGTTTAACAAAAGAATATATATAAGAAATATCTTTAAAAATCTTCTTCTCAAGAACAGAAAAGCCAAGATTAGTCATATTGATAATGAAGCATCACCAAGTATTGTAGACTCAAGTTTGTTCAAGGCATCCCCCAGTAGTAGGGTGGGGCCATAATGGGGGATCAAAGTTTAACAAAAGAATATATATAAGAAATATCTTTAAAAATCTTCTTCTCAAGAACAACAAAGCCATAATTAGTCATATTGATATGGAAGCATCCTCAGGTAGTGTTGATTCAAGTTTGTTCAAATCATGACCACTCCCCCCTACCCCCTAGGGTAGGGTGTCAGACATCTTTAAAATTCCGTTCTCAAGAACAGCAAAACCATGATTAGTTCTATGAATATGGAAGCATCCTCAGAAAGTTTAGATTCAATTTCATTCAAAACATGGCACCTGGGGATAGGGTATGCCTAGAACAGGCGATCAAAGCTTTACATATGAATATATAAAAAAAGAAATCTGCTGACAAAGAACAGCAGGGCTATATTGACTCAGGTGAGGGTTATGGCCCATGGGCCTCTTGTTTAGCTCACCTGAGCCGAAGGCTCAAGTGAGCTTTTCTGATCAAAGAGTGTCTGTTGTCTGTAAACTTTTCACATTTTCGACTTCTCATCAAGAACCACTGGGCCAATTTCAACCAAACTTGCCACAAAGCATCCTTGGGTGAAGGAGATTCAAGTTTATTCACAGGAAGTGCCGCGCCCTCTTTCTAGGGGAGATAATTTAAGAATTTGTGAAAATTTTGTGACATCTTTTAAAAACCTTCTTCTCAAGAACCACTGGGCAAGAAAAGATGAAACTTATGTGAAAGCTTCATTACATACTCTAGATTCAAATTTGTTCATATCATGACCCCCAGGGATAGAATGCGGACAAAAGAGGGAGTCAAAATTATATATAGAAAATATTTTTAAATTAATCTTCTTCTCAAGAATAGCTAAGCCATCATTAGACATCAGACCCTAAAACATGCTACTACACCTCAGAAACAAACCGTACTGTTCCGTGCAAGAAGCGTACCGTACTGTGCAACAAGCGTACCATACCGTGCACAAAGTGAACCGTACCGTACACAAAACAAACAATACCGTGCACAAAGCTACGAGGGGTGATCAAAAAGTTCGCGAACTAATTGAATTACTTCCTTATAAGAAATAATACGAGGTTTCAGTGTTCATTATTTTTTAAAGTAGTCCTCTCCGATTATAATGCATATCTGCCATTGCTATGCCCATGCGCGAATCACGTGATCCAGGCGGTCACTTGACATGCTTCGTAGCGGTCTGTTCACAGAAGTTAAGAGATTTTTCTGAGTCATATTTCTTACCATGCAAGTAATTTTTTATAACAAGAACAGACCATCTGTCACAAATGGCCAAATCTCGGCAATAGGATGGGTGGATAAGGATAACCCTTCCCAAAATTAGCATGGTGACCATCACAACCCAAGTCCTCTGTCTCGGGAGTGCGTTTATCCAATGTGGAAAAAGTGTGGGCGCCTTCTTTTTTTTCATATCTCATATGTTTAAAGTCTAAAGTAAACGATATTTTAGGGATTTAATAATTATATTATTGCTCAGATATTCAATTATTTTTCATACTGTAACTTTGCGATCTTTCAAAACAAATTGCTCAATTAAGGACACATCTTTTTACCGGCTTGCTTTCGCTGGGCAACAGAACAAACATCATTTTTAACCATCTCCCTGCCTTCATTAAATCATTCAATCCAATTAATGATCGAACTTCTGGTAAGTCTTTTGTCTTCATAAACCTTGTACAAATTATCATATTCTACTGCAAAGGCTTTTCTGAGATATACATTAAACTTTACAGCCGTTCGTTCTCAAGTATGACCGAGTCAATCATTTTTTGTCACAAGTGACCTACATACTGACGTCATTTTCACATTGTGACGTCACAAACACGGAGAAAAAAATTATTTAACATCTGCTATTTAAAGAACGTGTATGACTATACGTGTGCCAAATTTCATTCTGATCTGAATTGTGTTTTTTTAAATATAGAGATAGTTTGTGAACTTTTTGATCACCCTTCGTATAACAAATAATATGAATGCCTTTTTGTATCCTCTTGTCCATATATGTCATGATGGGGAAGGGGGGGGGGGGGGAGATGTCTAAAGTAGAAGTCTGCTAAAAAAAAATAAAAATATCACATAAATATATACCTGTAATTGCATGAAAATTTTAGAAGAATACATGTGTATTTATGTAACACATCCACAGACCTTTGTAAAATATTTTTAAATGTGAATTTTTTTTTTTAAGTTATTTTACACGAAGAAATCACCTCTGTATGGAAAAATGTGTATCCTTGTAATTTTCTCTGACTACAGAATTTTAGATTAGTAGCAACGTTTAACAGCGATAAACCATTTGTGACTAAAGAGCTTAATTTATACATAATATATACAACATGTACATGTATGTGCAGAAAATATTGTATGAAACACAATAAATAGGCGTACTCATTTTCTTAATGTGGGAATGTTTATTTATTTATTTATATTTATTGATTTATTTGTTCTGGAAGTGTTCAGAACAATTTTTTACAAGGTGTGCTAAAGGTCGGCACTCCAAAATTGAGATGTATTGGTTTTTTTTGCACCTACAATAGTATAAAATAGAATGCATACAATGCAAGGAAAAGATCTGAGACATTCTGAATAAATCGTTCATCTTGCGTTCACCGTTCATTCACTGTCCACTTTGCTCTCGTGTTGCGCTCTGTTCGCGTTCTGCTTTCACTCACTGTTCACCAAATTGCGTTCAGTGTTCACACATCATTCACTCACCGTTCGCTCTGCATTCGCTCACCGTTTAAGTGGGAAAGTAAAAACAGGGACTGTATCTATAAAAAACATTTTAAAATCATCTCAAGCACAGCAAAGCCACAATTAGTCATATTAACATGGATTCTGAGAGTATTGCATTACCATTACTAGTCCCCTACTGGTAAATGTAATTTAGTTACCATTAAAAACTGAAAACGCCATAATTCTCTCAAAAAATCATTGAAGCAGGCAAAATACAAACTCATCAAGGTAAACTCACATACCATATACAGCTCAGTGTCTGCAAGCATTTAGAAAATAGTGCGGAAAATCCTTCAAAATTAAAAAGGCTGTAATTCCGTTAAAAATCTTTGAAGCAGAACAAAAAGCAAACTTGATAAATGTGCGGAAAACCAAGTGTGACAGACAGAGTGACAGACAGCTAGACAGACAGATGCAATGGAAACCTATAGTCCCCTTTGGTTTCAATGGACTAATGAAAAAGAAACTTAAGGTAATATAGATTCAATTTTGTTCAGAGTATGACCTCCCAGGGGTAGGATGAAGCCACAACAGGCAATCAAAGTTTTGCATAGGATTTTGTATGAAAAAGTCTTTAAACTTCTTCTGATGAAGAAGAGCAAAGCCATTATTATTGTTTTTTAATGTGGAAGCATTCTCAGGTGGTGTAGATTCAAGTTTATTGACATCTTGAATCCCAGAATAGGTTGGGGCCACAATAGATGATGATAGTTTAACGTAGGAATTTATAGGAAAAGATTGTAAAAACCTTCTCTGAAGAACAATAAAGACATGTTTAGTCCATCCTCACAGTTTTTGTGATTTCAGAACTCCGTACAAACCCTTGACATAAGTCGTTATTTAAAAGTTGGGCTTGTGGTTACACATGACTAACCAATGAGAATATATTTTTCAAATCTGTCATTATGAAATTGCCCAACTCTAGAGCATATCTTTTGTGATTGTAAGGGGGACGATCTTCAAAAAATTAATCCCCAATGTTTCATTTAAAGTAACTTAAGTGACACAAATCCTACAATATTGACACTTTCCATTTTAAAATGCATATTTGTTTACAAAACTTACCTACAATAAAAGCTGTTTTCTGATTGGTTCCATTCCTAGACCAGGAACAAATAAAATAGTAGCTTTCTAGCCCAACTTTTAAATAACAACTTTTGTCAAGGGTTTGTGTGGAGTTCTGAAATCACAAAATCTTGACATTGTGAGGATGTGTTTAGTCATTAAGAAGTATCCTTGGTAGTGTAGTTTCAATTTTATTCAAATCATGGATCCTTTATATAGGATGGGGCTATGAAAGACCATATTAAGAATTTTACATAGGAATACACGTGTATAAAAGGGAAAAATCTGATGAAGAACAGCAAGATCAGAGTGACTGCGATAAGCATTGTGGCCCATCATGGGGATCTCTATTATGATATTTAAAATACAGTGGGTTTTGTTTCATTTATAGAAGAGGAGAATTTCGTAAATCAGTGATGATCATAAAGGACATTCCAACATCCAGTATTCCAGATCTTCGTCTGACACTCTCAACGTCTTCACCTCCTTCCCTTTTTGTTGTTGAAGTTGTTGAGGTAAGAGTATTAGTTTAGGAATGTTGTTTGGTGCATTTTTAGGTCAGCCGAATCTATCTGACAGTGTTTTCGTCATCCATCATGAGTTAACATTTGAAAATTTTCAACTTCTTCTATGGAACCCACTGATCCAATTTCAACCAATTTTTGCATGGAACATCTATGAGTAAAGGGGAATTTTTTTTTCAAATTTGAATTTCATGGTTCTTTCCCTATAAGCCTTAGGGGTGGGGTTTTAAAACCATCAAAATTAGTGCTATGATTACAAATCTTCTTTACTCATGGATACCAAGAAGTCAAAATGTTGGCATGATTGTAATAAGCATAAGAACTTTCTACCAAACTTGTGAAATTTTTGGCCCAAAGGTCAGGGGTTCTGGAGTTGGGAGGGGCTCTAATGATCATATTGTGAAAAGCATAAGTTCCTATAAATCTTCTCTCCCCTTGTATGAAAATAAGATAAACTAGGTCTTCTATCTTCTAAAATTGTGAAATTTGTGGCCTCTGAGTGATGGTTCTGAGGGAGAGGAGCTCTGTTGCAATGCGAAATGTAATAACAATGCAAACTGTAATGAACTGGGATTATTACATTTTGCATTACTTATCACATTTTGCATGGAGTTGAACGCAGAATGTAATGACACAAAATGTAATAACACTATTTTTGGATTATTACATTTTGCATTATAACATTTTGCGTAAAATGTAATAATGCACTTTTTGGTTGTTACATTTTGGGTTACTTAATTTTTGCGTTGAGGACAACGCAAAATGTAATAAAACAAAATATAATTTTTTTTATATTGTTTTCAACACGAAACATCACAAAATTGATTTCAACATTTAGCAATTGGGGAAACTCACTTTACTAGACAGACACACCTATTACTATAACTTTGTTTCTAACATTTTTATTGAATACTAATAAAACATTTAGTTAACTTTGATTGACATATCTATTTATAAATCAATCTAATATATATCACTGACATTCTTAATTACCAAAGATTGATCATGGGTCCATTAAAAGCTCTTGATACGCATATACGACATGCATGTGTAGATTGGTTAGCAAATTAGAAATGCATGTGTGTGTGTGTGTGTGTGTGTCTGGCGAGGAGAAAGGGTAGGGGTTACTTCGTATGTTGATCATTGTATTTTTATGTGCATGCTGAGACTATCCATTTATTATTGAAGAGAGAGAGAGAGAGAGAGAAAATTTTATTTTTGCTGGTCTGCAATGCACATGATTTGTAAATCAGTATGAAATCTTAATTGTAAAGAAACCCCCCATCCCGATATATTTACACCTGCCAGTAAAAATAAATAGATTTCTTTTCTTAATAAATTTCATGCATGCACCTATCAAAAAGCAAAAGCAAAGTGATACACTGATCAACAAAATACCCCCCTCCCCCCCCCCCCACACACACACACACGTGCGCACGCACATTTCAATTTGCAACACCTATGATTTGAATATCAACTGATTTTAAATGGATAATGAAACCAATATATGATGAAATTAGATTTAATGTAAGAATCAGCATATGTTTAATTTTCCTTTTGTTATGCCCCGCCATGAATATGGCCGGGGCATATAGTGTTTGTCATGTCCGTCTTCCGTCCTTCCTTCCGTCACACTTTGCATTTAGCTCTGTTCAAAGCTCAGTTTCAAAGAAACTATCCAAGATATTTTTTTTCAAACTTCATATGCTGATAGATATTGATGAGAGCTATGCAACTGCATCAACATTTTTTGACCTTGACCTTTCCTTTGACCTTGACCTCACTTTTCTTAAATTAGTGTTTAGCTCAGTTTTAAAGATACCATTCAAGATAGTGTAATCAAACTTCATATGTTGATACATACTGATGTAAACTATTCAACTGCATCAACATTTTTTGACCTTGACCTTTCTTTTGACCTTGACCTCACTTTTCTTAAATTAGTGTTTAGCTCAGTTTTAAAGATACCATTCAAGATAGTGTAATCAAACTTCATTTGTTGATACATACTGATGTAAACTATTCAACTGCATCAACACTTTTTGACCTTGACCTTTCTTTTGACCTTGACCTCACTTTTCTTGAATTATTGTTAAGCTCAGTTTTAATGAAACAATTCAAGATATTTTTAACAAACTTCATATGCTGATACGTACTGATGAGAGCTATTCAACTGCATCAATATTTTTTACCTTGACCTTTCCTTTGACCTTGATCTCACTTTTCTTAAATAAGTTTTTAGCTCAGTTTTAAAGATACCATTCATATCAAACTTCATATGCTGATAAATACTGATGAGAGCTATTCAACTGCATCAACTTTTTTGACCTTGACCTTTCATTTGACCTTGACCTCACTTTTCTTAAATTAGTGTCAAACTTAATATGCTGATACATACTGATGAGAGCTATTCAACTGCATCAATACTTTTTACCTTTACCTTTCCTTTGACCTTGATCTCACTTTTCTTAAATAAGTTTTTAGCTCAGTTTTAAAGATACCATTCAAGATAGTGTTATCAAACTTCATATGCTGATAAATACTGATGAGAGCTATTCAACTGCATCATTTTTTTGACCTTGACCTTTCCTTTGACCTTGACCTCACTTTCTTAAATTAGTGTCAAACTTAATATGCTGATACATACTGATGAGAGCTATTCAACTGCATCAATATTTTCACCTTGACCTTTCCTTTGACCTTCACCTCACTTTTCTTAAATAAGTGTTTAGCTCAGTTTTAAAGAAACCATTCAAAATATTTTTATCAAACTTCATATGCTAATACATACTGATGTAACCTTTTCGACTGCATCAACAATTTTTGACCTTGACCTTTTCTTTGACTTCACTTTTCTTAAATTAGTGTCAAACTTCATATGCTGATACATACTGATGTAAGCTTTTCAACTGCATTGATATTTTTTCACCTTGACCTTTCTTTGACCTTGACCTCACTTTTCTCAATTTGTGTTAAAATGTTGCATTACTAATATACCCTCGGCGGGGCATTCATGTCCTATGGACATATTTCTAGTTTTATTTTCTTTCCATTTATTTTCTTCATCCACTACTCAATTAAAAATTATTTTCAACCTGACTGACCAAAAAGTGTGTTATTAGCGTTGTTGCATTTTGCTTAATCTCGATGCAAAATGTAACAACACAAAATGTAATTATCCAAAAATCGTGTTATTACTTTTTGCATTATTACATTTTGCGTTGATCTCTACGCAAAATGTAATAACACAAAAATGTAACAATCCTAAAAAGTCTTCTTTTTTTACATTTTGCATTATTACATTCTGCATTGATATCATCGCAAAATGTAATGACGCACAATGCAATAATCCAAGTTAATTACATTTTGCGTTGTTATTACTTTTTGCGTTGTAACAGAGCTCTATTGTGTTAATAGCGAAAATGCATTTATTCTTTGAAAATCTTCATCTTTGCTCCAGTGTATTAAGCAAACAAACCAAGTATGTAGTAATGATGAACAAGCTGGGTCAGGGGTTCTGGTGATGAGCAGGGCTCTATTGATTATTTAGTGAAAATGCATTAATTAGGGCCCCACTCTGCGGGCGCCCTATAGTGATCAGTCTGTCCGTCCATCCATCTAGCTGTCCTTCCATCCGTCTGTATGTCTGAGATCTCTTATCCGGAGCATATTTTCTCTCTCCTTGGTCTAATTTGGCTCATACTTCACCCACAGAGTGCCTTTGGGTAAAGGGTGTGCATTGACCTTGAACCCTGTTTTTAGGTCTAAGGTTAAGGTCATAGCAGAATTATATGAAAAATCCTTGTCCAGAGCATATCTTCTCTCCCCTTGGTTCAGTGTGGCTCATACTTCACTCACAGAGTGCCACTGGTCATTGGATGTGCAGTGACCTTGAACGAAGTTTCTAGGTCAAGGGTCAAGGTCAAAAATAGCCTCTCTGTTTAAAATCTTTGTTCGGTGCATAATTTCTTTCCCTTAAGTCCAGTCAGCCTCAAACTTTACCAAGTTACCAATTTACCAAGGGAATGGAACATTTGTGATTTTCCTTCCATTTTTTGATAGAGGATATGCAACATTTTTCATAGAGGATATGCAACATTAGTGATTTTTGTGCCATTTTTTGATGGAGGGTATGGAGCACTCATGATTTTTGTGCCATTTTTTATCAAAACAAGGATGACATAGAAGCCCTTTAGACTCAAACAACACATCCGTTAATAGTACACAAATGTTCCTCTTCAAAGTAAACCCTTTTCAGCTACCTTACATTTTCACAATCATTACTGAAAGCAGGGCCCTTTGAGATGGCCACCATCTCAATGATATCTAGTTCTTTCAAAATCTTGTCTGATCCTATGAATTTATCAAAAAAACACAGTGCATTGTTATAATGATCAAGAGTGTCTCTTTAAGAATTGTGATATTTCTTGCCCCAGGGTCAGGGGTTCAGGTGGAAAGGGGGGTGGGGGGGTCTGTTGAATATAATAGTGAAAATGCAATATTTTTAATAGATTGGTTTTTTGTCTGACAATTAAACAATAAAATGCTTTCTTTGGTTGTTAACAAAGTTCAGGAATTTATCTTGCAGCAATTGCAGAAAAAATTAAAACATGACACACATAAGCAGGTGAAGTAAATTTTTCTGCAATAGCTGCAACGTTAATTCCCATACTAACAACCAAAGAAAGCATTTTATTGTTTATATTTATATTAGTATAAATAACCATATAAAGTAAATTTAAGTATGTTAAATATTTCATTGTTGTATTTCATGAAAATTAAATAATAAAAAAGCTCCCTCGGGATGAAAATATTGCCCTACACTCCACGTCAGGCAATACTTCATCCCCTTGGGGCTAACATAATCAATGTTGCTCTCAATCCCCAGTCAGTATTTGTATACTGTTGATACATTTGTCATTGTATGTTTCATTGATGGAAGAGCTGCTGCTCAACAAAACTATACATTTGGCTTGCCAAGAGGCGTTTACTGATTGATTTTCATTAGAAATATGGGAGATAATATTCATCATATGCAAATATTAAGTTAAAAATGCTCAGTATTTTTTTTTTGTTTTGTTCCAAATTGACAACATCGATGAAATCGTAGTGCTAAAGTCTGACTAATTGCAATGATTGATTGACTGATTGTATGTCGTTTCACGTCCCATTTGAGAATTTTTCACTCGTATAGAGACGTCACCATATACTGGTGAACTGTTTCAAATTTAGACCTTTAATCGGCACTCAGGGCCATTGAGCAGTGAGGGTTCTTTCTCGTGCCAATGCCTCATCCGTAAGGACCCGCAAATTTCACTTCAAAGTGCCAAGCGCTTGGCAAAGGAACAGTTGCTACCTATTTTTTGTCGACTTAGGTCAGTCGCGGCCGAGATCCAAACTCATGACTTTCCAATCATGGAGCGAGCGCTCTACCAACTGAGCTACCATGACAGTCTAAACGCAGTGAAATATATAACAACTTCATAGGGTAATAGCATCTTAACTATACAAGGAAAAAAATGTGGTGTGTGTATGTACATATATATATTCTATAAACCAACTTTTATCCACATGCAAGAAATACCTACATTAACTTGCCAATATTAATTGCCTCGAACCATTTTTGCATTGTATTTGTAGAGAATGTTTCCTCAGTCGCAAAAATTAATCATTGCAGATTGATTTCAAACGGACAAAATGGGAATAAAACATGACACAAATAAAAATTGGTTTACAGTATAAAGAGTTTGTGTATTCTTATTACTTTTCTTTTGTATTATTCTTAAATTTTTAATAGTGCATATTTTCTTTTTCAATGTACCTTTAATTTTTCTTTTCTTCTATCAGATTAAAAAGTCAGCATTGGCTAGTTGTGTACCGTTTAATATTCACCAAGCACTGGACAATCGAGTTCTTGGTCAACATGCTGGGGAGTTGCTACTAGATTTCCAGCTTTCTGTTTTTCGTGACTTACAGGCTGTTTTTGGTATAATTTGCATGCAAACTACAGTAAGTACCATTTAAAGCTTTAACTCACCTGAGCCATTGGATCAACTGAGCTTTTCTGATTGGAGGATGTCTAGTGTATGTCTGCCTTGTGTCATAAGTGGCCCGTCAACTTTTTAGTTCACCTGAGTCATTCAGGTGACCAATTGCTGTCTGTTTTTATACACCCGTCTTAAAACAGGATGTATTATGTTATAGTGTTCATGTCCATCCATCTGTCCGTCCATCCGTCTGTTAGCTTTTTCGTGTCCGGCTCATAAGTTTAATACTATTAGGCCTAGAGTTATCAAACTTTGTCAGCTGATGCATCTTGGGTAGGAGGTGTGTCGCATTTTAAAAGTAGGTTGCTCTGACCTTTAATTAGGCGCCTAAAAAAAATTATGTTTGTTTCCTGTAACCCGACCGACCCATTCAAATTACCCACGGGTGGATTTTTTTTTCTGCCAAATTTTCGTTTGCTCTCAGGTTTGATCATTCAGCTGATTCCAATTATTCAAAAAAATATTAATTGTATCTTTATTTGAGATATAAAATATGTCAACTTAGTCAACATTTACCTTAAATATAAAGAGTAATCATTATTGTAACAACAATTTCCCCCACAACTTTTTGAAGTTCTTTTCCTGCCACTAGGCAGCCATGTTGGGTGTCCACTGTAAATATAACACCTGGATAATTCAGTCCGGGGTGTTTGACTCCATTATTCATATGCAAAAAAAAAAAAAAAAAAAAAAAAAATCCCGACCTACAGACCCTTGATTTTTTGGAAATGTTACAGAAAACAAACATTTTTTTTTTTTTTAGGCCTTAAGATGTTATGGCCAAATATGGAAAAATCCTGTCCGGCTCATAACTAGAAATCTATTAGACTTATCATCATCAAACTTAGCCAGTTTATGCATCTTAGGTAGAAGTTGTGTTGCAATCTATTTCAAGGTCACTGTGACCTTTACTTTAAGTGAAATTTAAAAGAAAATGTCTCTCTATACTATTAAATTACACAAACCCAAAAAATTTAAGAGTGTTGCAGTATCCTTATTAAAAAATGTTAAATCAAGAAAATATTTTTTTTTTCATTATATACTTTACAGCAATCTATATCAAATGTAATGTAATAAGAGAAATTTCACCTCTCCCATGGGTGAAATTATCAAGCACTGGTCAAGGAGAATTTTGATAACAGAAAATTGAATGTCAAATTAGAGAGAAATTAATGTGTGTGAAACTGACTGGGAGAGCATCTCTGATCAAGCATGTGTTATCTATATCTCTTGGGAATTGGGCAAAGGACTCAGCCTGTGTTGGATTAAATAGATCTTGTTGGTTAGCCTAACTTTTCAAATGAACTTGGTGAAAAGTAATTAAGCAATTATAACTAATTTGATATTGCATGATAAATTAATTTAATGTTGTACAATATATTTAAAACTAATTATAACTCCGGGGGGGGGGGGGGGGGGGGGGGGTATTGGAATCAACATGTCTGTTTGCCCATATGAGCTGCAGTTTAAAAGCAGTCTGACATTAAATCTCAAAAAAAATCATCAAGTATTTTTTTGAAAAATGTTTTATGGTAGATAGTCCCTACAAATCTAAGAGTCATGCAGTAACCTTTTTAAAAATGTTGCATCAAGATTACGCAAGTTTCTGTTTCTTTTCATAATTCTTTGTAACAAATTAAAAAAAAAAATCTCTCTTTTTAACAGAATGACGTAAATATGCATTTTTATATCAATACAGACAATAAAACAGAGTGCAGTTCCATTCATCCCTTGGGAGTAATGAGTGGACATGCATCCAGTTAAAGACATTAATTAATTAATGTGTTCAATGTAGGAAACTGTCTCTATCATTTCTGTTAGAGGATCTCTGATCAAGCAGCTCTTATCTGTATCCTTTGGGAATTAGACAGAAGAACTGCTGGTCAGTTTATAGCATACGTCATTTGATGGCCAGCCTTTTATTTTCAAAATTAATTTGGTATAGATTAAATTGTTAAGACTAATTTGATATTGTTTAATATTATTTTTTTTATTAGTTTTTTGAAAATATCAAACAAATATGAAAGAGGGGGTGGGGAGGGTGGGTGGGTAGGCTGTAAATGGGCATTTGTCAAGCTCTAACACAACCCAGTTGAGAAATATATGATGTAATATTTGTTATAATTAATGCCTATACTACAGGAGGTGCATAAACATCAAATATGATAAGGAATGGAAAAATCATGGAAATCTTGAATCAAGGTTGACATGATTTTCTTGCACTCTTAACTGTTTATGAAAATTGAACAATATTTGACGGCGTATCATGCTGTGGTGGGGCACTTTATTGTCATGTGTTAACATTTGAACATTTTCAGCTTCATCTTTGGAAACTGCTGAACCAATTTTGGCATAGAACATCTATGAGTAAAGGGGAACAAAAGTTACAAATTTCAAGGTTCCTGTCCCCATCAGGCCATACGGGTGGGTTAAAAAAACCATCAAAATTAGTGCTATCTTTAAAAATCTTCTTTACTCTTGGACAGTTAAACTGTTGGCATAACTGTAATAAGCATTGGGCCCCTCTATCAAAATTATGAAATTCATGGCTACATAGTCACAGGTTCAGTAGTAAGGATGGTGCTCTAATGATCATTTAGTGAAAAGCATAAGTTCTTTTAAAATCTTCTCTCCCCTATATATGAAAGCAGATAATCTAGGTGAATTGTAAAATTTATGTCCCCAGGGTGAAGGGTTCTGTGGAAGAAGTGGGGGCTCTATTGAATATATATATATAGTAATAGTTCATTATAGCTCTACTAGTTGGAGACAAGAAGAGCTTATGTGATATTAAGGTGCAGTGTTTTTCCTAAGAACTGGCTACAAGCCAAATTGACTGCTTCATTTTATAAAAATGTCGCGTTGAAATAATAACAAGATGTGTTTGTGAAACACTGATGCCCCCTATGGCAACTTATAGAAAAGGTTAAACTTTCTCAAATGCAAATCAAATATGTTGGTACCCAAAGTAAGTTCTTGTCCCGAGGAATATACCTGTGAAATATGAAATCCCTAGCAGCAACCATTAAAAAGATATGGAAAAGGTTAAAAATTTTCAAAGGTAAGTCAAACATCAAGGTCAAGGTCAAATGGTCAAAATTAATGGTGCCCACGGAAAGGCCTTCTCACAAAAAATACCCATGTGAAATATGAAAGCCTTAGCACCAAACATTCAAAAGATATATCCAAGTTTCACGTTTATCAAAAGTAGGTCAAACTCCAAGGTCAAAGTTGTTGGTATCCAAAGTAAGGTCTTGTCACAAGGATTACATATATGAAGAATGAAAGCCCTAGCACCAAACGTTCAAAAGTTATGGCCAGGGTTAAAGTTTTCCAAAAGTAGGTCAAACTCCTAGGTCAAGGTCAAAGGGTCAAAGTTGTTGGTATCCAAAGGAAAGTCTTGTCACAAGGATTGCACATGTGAATTATGAAAGCCCTAGCACCAACTGTTCAAAAGTTATGGCCAAGGTTAAAGTTGGGTAAAATTTCGTATAACTGGGTCAAACTCCAAGATCAAAAGGTCAAATATGATGGTACCCAAAGAAAGGTCCTGTCACAAAGAATACACATGTGAAATATGAAAGCCATAGCTCCAACCAATCAAAAGTTATGGGCAATGTTAAAGTTTTTGCGGACAAACACACAAACAGCTAGACAGACAGACAGACGGACGGACAGGGCAAAAACTATATACCCCCGAATCTTTGATACGGGGGCATAAAAATCAAAATTTAATTGTTGTAAGGTCCACAGAGATTTGTCAAAAACTTCAACCCAAAGCCTGGTAAATTGATCTCGAACCCTTTACTTTGAAATAAAGGGAAAACACTGAAGGTGTCAGTAATCTGTTTGTCTGTCTGTCCATCTGTCTGTAGACAATTTTTTGAAATGCTAATCCTCCTGTGGTTTTGGTTTGATTTTAATAACACTTTGTACAGAAGTAGACTACTCTAAGATACACAATTCTGTTTATCAGTTGTTAATTTCAATGAAAGTTGTTCCCATGGTTATGAAAAATAGAAAAATCTGTAAAATGTCTTTCAAACATTACTCCTACTACAGTTTTAGATTTCATTTTAATAATACAACTTGAAACACAAGTAGGCTACAATAAGATACAGAACTCTGCTTATTATACCCCCTGCAAACGAAGTTTAGGGGGGTATATTGGAATCAGCATGTCCGTCTGTCTGTCCATCTGTCTGTAGACGAGATTTTGTCCGGACCATTTCTTGGAAACTGTTGCAAGGATTTGTCTGAAAATTTGTACACTTATTATTCGCCATTTGAAGGTGTGCACATGGTTTTTTCATCATGATTTTTATGCATTTTACAGGTGTTTTTGGGAGTTGATTTTATCAACTCTCCATTGCACTTACCAAGACCAAACAGTGTTTCGACCTAATCACTTCTCTGAGAGAAAAATCATCAATGGAAAATTATCGCTGCTGACAAGAAATAGTTCTTGCAAATAATCAAAAAATTTGATGAAATACTTTCAGAACACATTATTTATCAAGAGATTTTTTTTTCTTCAATTTCAATACATTGAAAACATGTGAAATTTAAATGATGCAACTACTAACTCTCAGTGATAGTATTTGCAGTTGTAAATTTTCCCACACTCAAATACAGTGCGGAATATTTCAATAATCTGGTTCAGCCTCTGATACTTGCGTGATATAAAGACATGTGGTCAGTAATGAAAAGAGGTGCTATTTGGCTGATAAATACTCTCCCTGAGCAGGTGTAAATTTGTTAAAAAATATGTTGAGGAAACCAAAACACACAACAGAATGCACATGCTAATGAATATCGTTATCTTGAGTTCAAATAATAATTTGTCTCTTACGTTCGATAGCAGACAATTGTAAATTATCAGTTTAACACCATTTGTCAACAAACTTACATGGGGATTAATATTTAGAAATGCATTTAAATGCATGATGTTTATACAGAGAA